TTTATTGGGACGAAGAGAGTATTAATTATGGATTAAATGAATAATTAATAAGTAGTGTGTAAATAGGCTTCAAGATTGAACTTAGTTGGGACTAACGAGTTGGATTGGATGATTCGTGGTCGACCCAAGGTAGGTTTCAAATACTTAAATAGAAAATCACCCCTTTAATAAGGGAAATTCAATTTGCAGCCATCAATTTGTTACACACAGCCACATTATTTTTTCAATAAATAAAATTATTTTAGTAATCCTATTTTATCCCCTAAAGCACCCGTTGCCCATATCCATCCATTTTCACGCCTCTTGACTTGACTTGATTCCTCTCTTCAAGTCTCGAGGGCCAATGAATTGGTGAATGCAAGGAGCTCAGAGGCATAATTACTCACGATCTTAATTAGGGTCAAATGCATAAATGGTAACTTAATTATGGTAGTGTTGCAGTTTGGTAACTTAACTATTAAATGAATCAAAATGATACATTAATTACACATAAATGTTTCGAATTGAGATTTTATTCAAATTTCCGATCAAAACATCACGCGTGGTGAACAGAAATCTATGCGTAAAGTCTAATTCACATTAGTTTTGTCCATATGATCACTATAGGGTGACTCTACACATGGAAATTTGATCGTCATGAATGATATTTTGATCGGAAATTTGAATAAAAATCTCAATTCGAAACGTTTATGTATAATTAAGCTACCGTTTTAATTCATTTTAGAGTTAAGGTACCAAAATGCAACATTACCAATATTCTTGCTTCTGATAGTTGGTTGGACATATTCGGAGGTGTCGTTGCTGAGTCTCTTGAGGGATCCCAACCGATCATCTAGCATTATTTATCTGTTTGGCCCCAGCCCAGGGGGTGAATCGAAGGCGAAGATTTAAATTTGAAAATGTGTGGCTTCGTGAAGATGATTGTAAAGAAATTGTAGCTCGAAGCTGGAATGCGGCTAGGGGACACGGCGTGATTGATCAAATAGCAGGTTGCAGCCAGGCAGTGAATGCGTGGGGCCAAGGGAAGGCTGGTTGTTTCGGCAAACGACTGAGTTTTTGTAGGAGGCGGCTGCATTACTTACGGGTTCGTTCTGACTCTTGGGGACTGTCCGAGTTTGGAAGAGTGAAGGGGGAGTAATATGTACTGGCAGCAAAAGGCTAAGGAGTTTTGGTTTAAAGGGGGGATATGAACACCCGCTACTTTCACAATGCGGTCAAGCAATAATGGAGGAAAAACAAGGTAGAGGGGTTCAAGCTTGATAGTGGGAGATGGGAGAAAGATCGAGGAGAAATTGGCAGAATTATTTGTGATTATTTTACGAATATTTTTTCCGCTGCACAGGGGGATAACACTTTTGTTCTTCAATGCATTGGAACGAAACTGGGGGAGGCTGCTAATGATGAACTTTTACGCCCCATTAAAGGGGAGGAAGTCAAGTAAGCTCTCTAGGTCCGGATGGGATGAGTCCAGGCTTCTTCCAACATTTTTTGGAATTAGTGGGTCTGGACGTTGTGGATTTTTGCAAATCTGTTTTTGATTCTGGAATGTTGCCGGATGGTGTGAACCATAGTCATATCGTTTTAATTCCAAGGAAGGATAATCGGGAGGTAATGGGTGATTGGCGACCCATAGCGCTCTGTAATGTTGTCTATAAAATTTTTGCTAAAGTTTTGACTAACAGAACGAAGCATTTTTTGAATGGGTGTGTGTCTGAACATCAGAGTGCTTTTATCCCTGGTAGGTCGATTGTTGATAATGTTATGATAGCTTTTGAGTCACAACATTATTTGATGCAAAAGAGACAAGGGAAAATGGGTTTTGCTGCGCTTAAACTGGATATGAGCAAAGCCTATGACAGAGTGGAGTGGTCTTTCTTGGAAGGAATGATGCGCCACCTCGGGTTTGGTGATAGGTGAGTTAGATTGATAATGATGTGTGTGTTGTCGATGTCCTATTCCATCCCATTTGATGATTTGGAGTTGGGTCCGATTACTCCTACACGAGGGCTTCGTCAAGGTGACCCTTTATCCCCTTATTTATTTATCCTTGTAGCGGAAGGGTTGAGTGCGCTTCTCCGTCGGCAGGAGGCTATGGGGCGTATTCATGGGGTTTTAGTGGCTAGGGGTGCTCCGAGAATCTCACATCTTTTATTTGCAGATGATTTTTGCTGTTTTTTAAGGCATGCCATGGTGAAGCCGAAGCTATCTTGGAGGTTCTCCACGATTACGAGACATCGTCTGGGAAGGTGACTAATATAACCAAGTCCAAATTATTTTTTAGCTCCAACGTTAATGAGGAAGTTAGGACCAGTTTGATTTCAATGTTGGGAGTCTGTTTGGCGGGGGGAGGAGCATTACTTGGGGCTGCCAGCATTAATCGGGAAGGGAAGAAAGCAGATTTTAGATTATCTTAGACAGAGAATTGTCAAAAAAATCAGAATTGGAATAATCGTTTTGCTAAAAATTGTGGCACAAGCTATGCCTAATTATGCCATGAATGTCTTCCTGTTGCCTACCGATTTTTGTCGTGAGATTAAAATTTTTATGAATGGGTTTTGGTGAAATGGAAAGACCGGTAAAGGGGTTCGGTGGTCAAGCTGGGAGGCACTTTGCAAACCCAAAAAAAATTGGCGGGTTGGGGTTCAGAAGAATCAGGGAGTTTAATTTATCGATGTTAGCAAAGCAGGCTTGGCGCCTCTTTACAAATCCTGATACTCTAGTTGGCAGAGTCTTTAAAGCATGTTCCTTTCGGGACGGTAGCTTTCTCACTGCAAAACTTTGGGGGGAGTCCTTCCTTTGTTTGGAGAAGCATTTTTTAGACCCAACAGATAATCAGGTCTGACTATAAATGGAGAGTTGGAGATGGGAAGACTATAAATATATGGGAAGAGCCCTGGCTTCCTGATGATGTAAATCCCAGGATTTCTTCATCCAAGCAGCCAGGGTCGGAGAATGCAAAGGTTAGCGGCCTAATTGATGAAATGGGTAAGGATTGGGATTGGGATATTATTTCTGATTTGTTCAATTGCAGGGAGAGGCAACTTATTCAAAGTATAAACTTAAGCATCCGGAACATACCAGATGGAATCATTTGGAAAGGGGAATTGAATGGCCGATTCTTGGTCAGGAGCTGTTATCGTAAACTTGTTGGTGAGTCGGTGGCCGGAGGTTGGACAGGGTGGGCGCGAATTTGGAATTGGAAATTACCCCCAAAAATTAAGTCTTTCTTCTGGCAGGTGTGTTCTAGCTTTCTTCCAACTCGTTGTGCTCTGCGGCAGAGACGGGTTGACTGTCCGACAGAGTGTGGCCTTTCCAAGAGAGCTGAGGAGACGACTCTGCACCTATTCGTCAGGTGCCCAGTGGCTCTTGAGGCCGGGCGCCTCTTGGGGTGGAAAAATTTGGGGCAGAATTTTGACACCTTCCTTGAATGGCTCGAAGCTATCTTTCAGTCGCATAATGTGGAGGATCTGCAATTAATTGTTTTAAGGTGCTGGGGAATTTGGTGTGAGCGCAATTTTGTCAGGGTTTGGCAGGGTGCCGAATCATCTCCAAATCATATTGTTGTCCGGGCCAAGGCTTTTCTTGAGGGCTGGTCTATGGCACAGAAGGGAAGAGACTTGGTTGCTCCTATAGTGCAGGTGGGGAAAGCCCATTGGAACCGTCCTCCAAGTGGGAAGGTGAAACTCAATGTGGATGCTTCCATATTGAATTCACGGTGTGGCTTGGGATGGGTGTTGTGAGATGGAGATGAGGAGTTTTTGGCAGGTGGGGTGTGTCAAAGTCTGGGGGGTGTATCTCGGTTGAAGCTGAGTTATTGGGTATTCAGGAGGCTTTAAGTTGGTTGAAGGAACAAGAATGGAATTTTATCGAAGTTCAATCAGATTCTTCACAGGCTATTGCCGAGATAAACGACATGTCTAGTTGTTCGAGCAGGGGGTTTCTAGCAGAATATATCATTTTTCTGAGTAGGCATTTTAGTAGCATTACTTTTTCTCATGTTCGACGTTTTGTGAAAACGGTTGCTCACTCTCTAGCTAGGGCGGCGTGTTCTATGGTTGATCGTCATATTTGGCATTTTATTCCGCCTGATTTCATTGTCCATGTATTTCATCATGATCTGGTTAATGATAGTTAATTTACCTTTGTTCAAAAAAAAAATTATCTGTTGTTCATGGCCATTGATCTTCCTCAGAAATCTATCGCTCTAAGTCGATCTCAGAAATCACACACTACTTTGGTACAATAACGAAGCTCCGGAGGAGCGTTTCCCAGAATATAAGATGGACCGGTGGGCGTAGCTCAATTGGTAGCAAGGGAGTGCCACAAGGGCTATGTCTCAGATTCGAATCCCGACAACTGCGATGAGAGGTTACTATGCTAAAAATGCATAGGGCCTCTGCAGGTATCAGGGACAAGAGCTGCACTCTCTATATGTCAAATTGAGATTATAGTCCAATTTACATCCTCTCTATCTCTATTGGTGTCGTCCCTTTTTCCAAAATATAAGATGGGTCGCTACTTCTAGCTATTGATTTCCCAACTAAAGAAAGAACGATTCTTCAGGCAGAAACAAAGACTATGCGTCCATGCTGTGTTAGGTATTTTGAAACGTCAAGAGATGAAGAGGGGGCTGATGGACATCTCACGATTCAGGTAGAAGCTGACTCACATATTCTAATCAAGACGCTGCACGAAGATAGTTTCCTTCCGACCAAGACGGTAAACCGAATGGAATGTATTCTCAGTTCTCACTACCGAACATCACCGCCATCCACCCCGATATGATCCTCACCCTCTTACCGCTCCTTTCGCCGCCGCTTTGCAAAACCACCATTTCTTTCCTCCCCGACGAGCTCCTCCTAGAATGCATTTTTGTCTTTCCTCATTCCCTTTACTCCGGACATGGTTAGCTTAGGGGTAAGTTAGGCACTGAAATTATTTTTATTAATTAATTAATATTTAATTAGTGGCTACCTCTTTAATTAATAATGGCTGAAGGCTGGGCCGTGGTCCATATGGATGGGGATGGATATATTAGCAAGGTGATGGGTAGGCCCTAGAGCACCATAAGCCCACGGCTAAATCACGATGTCTAGACAGAGTCACGGCGGATCCTACGGTGAAATAGAAATTAATTCTTCGTTATTAAATGTCGGATTCTAAAAGACTGTTTTCTCAATCAAGCCTATTTCCAGATTCAAGTCCACGGAAAATCTCCTCCGCGGTATCTGATCTCCCGTTCCTCAGAGAACATAAATGGCTCCGGTCGCCGTTAACGAAGTTATCCCGGAAGGAAGTTTGTCCTACTTTGATGAGCAGGATAAGCTTCAGACGGTGTCAATCCATTCGCTTGCGAAGGGTAAAAAGGTCATTCTATTCGCCGTTCCAGGAGCCTTCACTCCCACTTGCAGGTCACATGATCTTGCGATTCTTGTTTTTTCTTTCTGCCTCATACGCAGTTCACTACTTAATGTGATTCTCTGACGGTGATTGCAAATAAATTCGCTCTGCTTTTAAAAAACTTTATGTTGAATATTAGGATAGTACAGTCAAATTAGTAAAAATGTATTTTCATTTTTTTAAAGAGTGTAATTTTGCAAGACTTGATTGTGAGGATGTTTTTATATTGATGCGATGCAGCATGAAGCATGTGCCTGGGTTTATTGAGAAAGCCGACGAGTTAATCTCCAAGGGCGTTGACGAGATTCTCTGTCTTAGTGGTACGTTTTATATCATTTCAACTGGATCTTGCCTCTAGCCCTCCTTTCGAATTTCCCAATGTGTTGAAAAAAGAGTTCATTTTTCTTCAAAAGTAGCCCAAGAACTTGTATTCCACCTAAAAATGCATTTTTAAGTAAAAAATACCATGTAGTAACTACAACAACAACGTCCAAGCCTTAATCCCAAAACAATTTAGGGTCGGCTAACATAAAAATGTTGTTCCGATGAAATTCAATGACACTCCAGTTATTCTAAAAAAATTATGTTTAAGATTAACTATAAAATTGAAACCCTCCCGTTATATTTCTTTTTTGGAATTTATTGTACTTTTTCTTCCATCAATGTTATTTTGAAAACCCCACAAGCCAATAAACGTGGGAATAAGCCAATCAGGGTAAAATGCTAATCATGAAAATGCTGAAGCTTTATTACATAAGCCGTGCTAGTTGTTATGATGTTTTTCAATTGAATTTGGCTTAAAAGACTTTATGGCTCAGTGAGCTAATAAAATGAGACAGATATTAGCTGTAGGAAATGGTTGCAGTTCTTGATGTGCTCGATACTTGCTTTTTGATTCTTCCTTGACCAGTATCCTCTAAGCATTTACATTTGACTATTCCAGAATGTGGCTGCAATCTGCCCTTTTACCTATAATCTCCCCACATTTCCAGCCTCCTCTTCAAGCCCTTGCTGTTCCACTTTGTCCCTTTAGCTCTGTACCATATACTATGCCCACACCCGCCTCTACCCTCTGAAACATCCACCTTTTGCAACGCATAATCTCTTCAAAATTCATTACAAAGGTGTGTTTCCCATATAAATAAATTGTTTATGCATAAATTCTCAAATTTGTAAAAAAACACTATAGGGATATTTCTCCTTTAAAGTTAGTTCACATGCTTGAACTACAAATTTTTATTTTTTGGATGTGCTCATGCTGTTATTGAAAAGAATCGTTCTCATTTGAGCTAAGATGGATCTTGAGAATGCGTAGTTGAAATTCAAGACGAGTCCACAAAGAATTTATGACATTAATTTTTCTCAAGCAGTACAAGATAAGTAGGCCATTATTTACTAAATCATGGCATTTGTATAAATTGTGTTTTCTTAAAACTGAACTGAACTAAAATATTTAAAAAGCGTGGCATTCTACCTCTAGGTTATTATTATTTATTTTAAGTTCTCATGTATAGTTTTGTGCCTTCCTTTTTAACTTGGTTTGAGTTAGTTTGCCTGCATGAAAAAAGTATTACTCCCTCCGTCCCGCTAATATTGTCTCATTTTACGTTTTCGGGAAATCCCACTATCGTTGTCCCATACCAAATTTGGTAAAGTTTGTGTTACTCTAAATCATTATTTATTCTTACTTTATCAATTCAATATCAACCACATAACCCCACTTTCTTTAATAATCGTGCCACCTCCTTTCGTCCCAATGATAGTGGGACGGAGGTAGTAGAATAGTGCTGTGGTGGTTTTCCCCCGGGGAATTTATTTTGCCAATACGGAATTGATTTTATTATGCTAGAATGAGAAGCAATTATGTAGAACGTTTGGGATGCAATCTGTTTCTTTCATCACATATTACGGAGTATATCATAAAAGTAATAATGTAAATTATCAATTGACCATAACAAACTATACAAAATTCACTAGGTATACCTGGGACAAACCATCAAAGCACCACTATTATTATGAAAAGGAAGAAACTGATTGCATTCCAAAGAATTTGCATTATTATTATTATTGTTGTTGTTGTGGTTGTTAGTATTATTATCATCACTATTATTAATTTATTATTATTATTATTATTATTATTATTATTATTATTCTGCATGTGTGATCATTCTGTTGACATTTTGTAATAAAATTGGCTATTATTTGCTACATGACTGGTGCATTCTTTGAGTTCAATAGTTGGTATAATTTATAAAGACATGGATGGATTTTTTTATTGTCATCTCATATATTGAGTAATAATACTTCTTGGCAACTAGATTGATGGCTTGAGATTTGAGTATACAAGTAATTCTTTTTTTATTTATTTTAAATCTTGTCATGTGTAGTGAATGACCCCTTTGTGATGAAAGCATGGGCAAAGACTTACCCAAACAACAAACATGTCAAGTTCTTAGCCGATGGATCTGGCATCTACACCCATGCTCTGGGCCTTGAGCTTGACCTCTCAGAGAAAGGGCTCGGCGTTCGATCTAAAAGGTTTGCACTTTTGGTTGATGATCTCACAGTTAAAGTTGCCAATATTGAATCCGGTGGAGAATTCACTGTCTCTGGTGCTGAGGAAATCCTTAAGGCTCTCTAGATGAGCGTCTACTCAAGCATCTTGTTCCGCGAGTATTTCCCTTTTAATTTTCACCTTTTCTGTGTTTTGTATGAACGGTTTTCACCTACCGGTCTTTTGGAAATAAAATGTCTTCTAATCCCTCAAAATGCTACCTTCGGTTGTCGAATACTAGAATGAGATGGATCGATGTGGATAACATCAACAGACAACTCAGACAATACCAACCTATTTCAAAGTCTTCTATGGTTCGGGTGTGGGGGCAATCTGTAAGGCACACCAAGATGCTTAGTGATCATGGAAAATTCTGATGTTTTATGAACACTCACTTGACACAAAATCAGCATTATATATCCTATTCACACGAGCTTTAGCTAGAACAAACCAAGTAGAAATTACCAAAATACTACTACCTTTGTCCTATTCACACAAGTTCAAGTATATTTTGAGAACTAATTTTAATAGATATATAATATAATGAGGTTAGCGTTGATAATTGTGATGTTATAAATGTATTATTTTTAATATTTAATGATTAATTTATCATTTAAGCTTGTTAATTGTTTCCTAAATTAGAAATAAGAACCTTGATATGGAACATCCAAAAAAAGAAAGTGAGAACTTTGTATGGACGGAGGGACTAGGTATTATTTAGGTGTAAATAAAATCAGTAATGGCTGGTATTATTTAGGTGTAAATAATATCAGTAATGGCTAAAAAGCCTAAAAGCTCTCGGAAAGTATTGGAGTATATGAAATTCAATAGGTTAAGTTAGTGGTGGGCTTGGCCAAGTTCGGGCTGGGCTCCAGGTCCTGTAAAAACAGTCCCGGTACCAGCCTGGTTATGTACCGTGACCGGGTTGGGTTGGGCTACCTGGTCGGGCTTCGAGTTGGGCTGAGCTTAATTTAAACTTTTTAAAACTAATTCACAAATGCTACAAAAAAATTCAATGTATATATATTGAAATGTGAAGTGCAATTGATAATTGAAAATAATTTCAAACATTAAATACATTTGGTAAAAATCAGTTGGAATCTCGGTCAGCGTTGGTTGTTGTTTCTTCCATGAAGTGGCAGTCAGGGGCGATGCAAACTTCTTGAATTCTACATCGTGCCTTACTGCCTTCAACCAATCGTGAAAGCAAATGAGGGTCTCAAGAGATTTTGCGCTCAATTTTGTTCTATAGTCGGTGAGGACGTTGCCAGTTGCGCTAAATTCTTGTTCCTCGACTACTGTTGACACCGGCATTGATAGCACTTGCTTCGCCATCTTCGATAAAATCGGGAACATTGATTCTTTTTTCTTCCCCCACTTAAGAACGCCAAAGTCATCAACTTCTACATACTCAACATGAAACGTTAAATATAAAGAAAACTCGTTAATCGAGCTTTGCGCAACAACGTGAGTTGATTTTTTTCTTCATAAGATTACCAAATGTAGATTTGAAAAGTGATTTTCCTTTAGATGAAGAAGTAGTTGATTTCAAGGGAGGGGGTGCGTTAGCATAATGCACATGAAACACATTAAATAATTGATGAAATAAATTACTAACCTCGTTGTATTGATCTTTAGGATCTATGAGTCTCTCTTCGTACATAGGCAATGGCCCGAAAAACAAGTATAATAGTACTCTATACAATTTTGATAAGCATGTAGTTTAAAACGAGGATCAAGAACAAAGGTAATACCATATATAGGCGGAATATATGTATAATATTTTAAAAACTTTTCTTTCATGTAATCACAAAAATAATGAACATAATTGGCTTGTTGAAATTCAGAAAATGCAACGGCGAGATTAACAGTTTCAACTAAAAATTGGTTTGCCGTAAGTTTATAAACATAACTAAAAGTTAGAGTTGTGTTATTAAAAAAAACTAAAACTTTGCAAATCTTTTCCATAGTGTATATCTCAGCCGGGTTTATAATATAGTTAGCAGCTGTTAGATTATTGGACTCATACTACATGTAATATTCACATTATATTATTTATTGGGTTTAATTGTATGTTATATGCTATCTTACATTTAGGCACAAAATTTAGTGGTCCTATATGGATATTAATTTAAGTGGGCTAATATGTTATCTAATAAGCTATAGGGCCCAAATGTGTAAAGACCCATGGGATTAACCTAATTAATTATGGGCTAATTAGGGTTAAGCATTCTTTATAAATAGAGGAGTTTATGGTCCCTAGTTGAACACACCATTTTGTCTTTCTGTATCTCATCGCTAGAGAGATAATTCTCGAGGGTGTGTATCACCATTTTGAACACACCATTTTGAACACACCATTTTGTCTTTTATAAGTTTATGATAATCTATATTCACTTGATATAATTGCCTCATATAATGAAACTTTGCATGGTAGTACTCGTTGTACTAAAAGAAAATTAACCAATGAGAATTCATTATCACTTTGACACAAGCGTTTAGGACATATTTCTAAAGAAAGAATTCAAAGACTTGTGTTAGATGGTATTCTTGATTCTGTTGACTCCTCAAATTCTGATATATGAGTTGAGTGTGTTAAGGGAAAACAAACGAACAAAAAGAGATTAGGTGTCGAGAGAGCTTCAGATCTATTAGAATTGATATATACAGACATTTGTGAATCATTCCCTACACCATGTAGAAATGGTCAAACATATTTTATCACATTCATAGAAGATTACTCTCGTTATGGTTACCTTTATCTCATTCATGAAAAGTTGCAGTCAATAGACGTGTTCAAATCTTATAAGGCCGAAGTTGAAAATCAACTAGGAAAAAGAATAAAGCCCATCAGATCTGACCGTGGTGGTGAATACTAAGGTAGATATGATGGTGCTGGTGAACAATGTCCAAGGCCATTTGCTAAATTCCTATAGGAGTGTGGAATTGTTCCTCAGTACACCATGCCAGGAACTCCTAGCATGAATGGTGTTGCTGAGAGACGAACCCGTACATTGAAGGACATGGTTAGGACATGGAATTGTTTTTCATACTACTTTACCAGATTCACTCTCGGGAGAGGCACTCAAAACTGCAGCTTACATACTTAACAGAGTTCTCACTAAACCCCTTATGTAACACCATCCCCAATTATATTTACTTTTATGTAAATCATGTATTGAACCTTATGAACTGATTGATGAATTTACGAGGTTGTAAATTTTTGTTATTACTTTTGCGTGAATAGTGAATTGCACGTGGGGCCCACATCAGGAGCGGGGACCACCCGATAATTCTGAGACAACATATTATATATGTCTTGGTCTAGATAATATGTATATGGTGGTGGATATTCTAGTTGGGCCATGGAAAGGGCATAGGGTTGACCGGTTGGTCATACGAGGCCCAATTACCGGTATTGGTAATTTAACGGATAACAACCCGAAATGAATTTCAGAGACTTCTAAATTAAAGTTGAGGAATGTATATTCATTCTAAGTGTCCATATGGTTTGAGAATGTGTGATATATTTTATTTGGCCCGATAAAGTAAAACATAATTAAAATTGTTCGAGAAATACAACTTTCGGTGCCGATTGTACAATCGGGACATAAAGGGATGACCTCCCACATGAGTGAGGGCCACCCCACGTATTTGTGTTCTCAAAGTTAATTGAGGGGATGCATAGTGTGGAGAAGTGGTGTAAATTGAGTGAGAGTGATTGGTTGGTATACGGATGGTCATGGGTGGACCTCCCCTCTCAATTATCTTGCAATTGAGACAAAAGATACACATCACCTCTCACCCCTACCATCTAGATCGACCAGGCATCCAAGAGAAGAGATAGAAGCTCAAAATATCATCCTCCATTGCTGCACAATTCGAGCTCAAGCAATAGGAGTCTAAGGAGGAAGATTAAAGAAGGAAAAAGTTAGGAAAAGTGTGAAGGATTAAGGTAATGACCTTATAATAACTTTTCCTCTACTTCTTAGCTATCATATGACTTATATATCATATGTAGGACCCCTAGGATTGTTATACATGTTTAGAAGTGTATAATGAGGGGTTAGAAGGTAGTTCTAAGTCCGAGAACGGACTTAGAAGCCAAAGTGACCAGTTCGCCGGAAAATAACCTTTTAGAGGTTACTTGTATTGATACGCGTTTTGTGATGATGAAAACTTGTCATGCACTTGTCTAATCTGTTCCTAGCACTTTCACGGAGTTGAAAGAGTTGCGGAGTTGTCACCGGAGTTCTTCAAAGTTCATCGGAGTTTCGCCGGAGTTCAACCGGGAAGTGTAGAACTTCTTAAAAGCTCATTCAAGGTGAATGGATGGATTAATGTCTTGTAACTCTTGGGTTAATTATTAGATTACCTAAGTAAATTCTATATGTGTTCATAATGATGTTTAAAATGGTTTAAGCATGTGATTAGCCAAGATGATTAGGCTTATATGAGATGAACCATAATGATTATGCATGAAAAATGATATGAAAATGATATAAAAACATGTGTGATGTTTTGGATGGTCAAAATGGAAAATAATGATTGTTTAAGACTTAATTCATGTTTGGGTTAAGTTTCGGATCAATCGGAGTCGGTTCGGGCGGTCAACGGGACGTTGACCGCAAAGAAGAAAGTGAATCGACGCCGGTTTAGGCTATAACCGGCGCCGGTTTGAGTACGGGGCAACCAAATTAATTAACTTAAATATGAAACGGCGCCGGTTTGGGCTATAACCGGTGCCGGTTTAGTATTGTTTTTTCCCGAATGTTTATTTTTGTGCATGGTTTTGTATGGATTGTTATGCTTAGGCTATAAGACTTGGTTTAGTCTTGATAAATGATTATGATATAGACCCTATCTATGTTTGATAAGCGGTAGATCATAGAAATAAACGTAAGATGGTGGAGAACCTAGGGACGACAGTACTGTCCTCAAAACTCGGTAGATAAATGGTGGAGACCCAAAGACGATGGTATTGTCCTCAGAACTCGGTATATAAACGGTGGAGACCCAGGGATGACAGTACTGTTCTCAAACCTCAAATATATAAACGGTGGAGACCCTGCAGGGACGACGGTACTGTCCTCAAACCTCAAATGTATAAACGGTAGAGACCCAAGGACGACGATACTGTCCTCAAACCTCGGTATATAAAAGGTGGAGACCCAGGGACGACAGTACTGTCCTTAAAACTCATATGTATAAATTGTAGAGAATCCAAGGACGACTGTACTGTCCTCAAACTCGTATGTATAAATTGATTTGGACCACGAGGAGTCCTATACACTCATAGGATATGGGTGGGTTGGGATTTAAGTCAAGGATATTGACTACTATGATTTTTCCCAAATAAACAATGACCTACGGGTCAGGTATTTCCAAGTGTATATATATACTGATATGTATTTTATAACTTGGGGAATGTACTATACGTGTATGTATCACCCTATGTTTGAGTCTTATACTTGAAACGTTAGTTATGCTACATTTAGCTTGCTACTCGCTCGGTACTTGTACTGACCCCTTCGAGGGGGGCCACCATTTTTCAGGTTGAAGCTAGGGCTTGCTACCTACACCTTCTTACGGGTGAAGTCAATTCAAGGAAGACATGGTTCGTGCT